TATATATATATATATATATTTTTTTTTTACACTGTATTTTAATCAAGGAAATATAGGCTTGGTGAGCTGAAGAGCATTCTTTCAAAAAATCTTACCAACCCCAAACTATCAAGAGTAAACCAAACATTTATTGTGAATTATTTCCAATAAAGCTGTATCTTTTTTTTCCAAATTATGCAGGTCTTTACACAGAGCAACGGTTTACAAATGAATGTTATGATACCTTTATTTGTTTTACCAGCTATTGTAAGTGAAGTACACAATACAGAGCAAAGGATCAAGCAGAATTGTGTCAAGATGTTGACTGATGAGGTCGCACAGGTGCAGGAGGTCAGCTTTGCCACCGCCCACTCATTAACCTTCAGAAAAATGTGCGATTTGTACAAGTTTATAATCTCTGTGTTGTGTTTGTCTTCAGGTGAGATACTGTCTGAAGACTCTGAGAGAGCAAATGGCAGCCAGACAAAACAATAACAACAATAATAAGGTACTATATTGACATTTTACCTGTTCAGATGAATTTCTCAAAATCAGTATACTATATTATACACACTATTAGTTATATCAGTTATTTCCTCAGTTGCTCGTATTTTTCCCATCAGTTTGGAATGCTTTGCATATTTCTTCAAATTATTACTCTAAGCTGTCTCATTTGTAAATCTATCTTGTGCCCTAGATTCCGTCCAATGGCTTTAAAGTTGACGTACTTGTCAGCGAAGCCAATGGCTCCAATGGATTTGTGAATGGCTCTTTCACTAAATGTCCGGTAAACTATTTGTCATATAAAGATTATTCACTTGCGCCATTATAAATACTCACGTGAATAGCAAGAATGTATAAGCTACTCACAAACACAAACAAACAGAGACACTCCCATAGAAAGAGAGCGAAAGCATTCAGTCCACTCGCTGTATCACATTTCAGTGGTTTTGGACAGAATTGAATGCCGTATTGTGAGTAAAAATAGCCCCTTTCCTCTATAAAGGGTACTAGTCATTCAATCTCAAAAACCTTTCGAACTAAAATGAATAACTTCTCTGTTTGAAAATGGCCTGAAAATGGGAAGTCCTGTTCTCCTGTATGGACTCCCAAATAATAAAGATAATGGACAGTAGCAGATACAGTTCAGAGTCTTTAATGAAAATACAATGACGTTCATAGATAAATAATTGGGCCAAAAAACATTACCACAGTTTTGTTCATTCTTGTTACCGTGGTAATGTGCTGAGATTTGGGAGCGTACGCACATTAACCTTTTGCTTCTGCCTGTGAAAAGTCACACCCATGACATGATGCCTTTGGGAGCAGCAATTGCCAAACTTGTGGCTGCTCAGTAAACAACCCGTCATTATGCCTTCAACTACACACCTACAGCGCCTCCCATGCACACACAGTTTATTTTTACTTATTTAATAATAATGATTTAATATTTATATATTACGAGTCTAAGTTTTATACCTCCC